TGGTAAGTGCCGAGAATGGAGGTGTGGGGGGAAATCAGACACCCCACATGTAACTCATGTAGCTCCCCTCATGTAACTTTGCACCTGGAAGAAGGAGGCATCTATTACAACCTGAATCTCCTGGACTTGTACTGACTCACATACAAAATAAGTGAAGGAGAGATATCATTCTTTATATCCCAGGCATCTCTTTGGGCTTTTATGAAAAGCGTAACAATAAAATTCTAACATATCATGCAGACAACTGGGAGATGGGAAGAGGAACATAAATTTATCAAGTCCCCATTGTAAGCCAGTAGCTGTGAGGTAGGTTTTACTGATACTGTCTCATCTTACTCCATGTGGTAATGCTACGAGCTAAGCTTTATTAGACCATCTTGCAGATGGATGGATGGAAGTTTACAGAAGGCAGCAAGAACACTGTTATGCCCAGTTCATAAGTATGCATTGGGAGCATTCTTTATGCCAGGAACCGACTGCATTAGGTGCTGAACTCCAAGAGCTGAGCCTTGGGGCGAGCCAGCCTCGAGGCGTGGTTTCTGTTGCTCTGGTTTAGAAGGGGAGATGGACACTGAGCTGGAAGTTACAGGTGTGCTTTAAAGCAGAGATCTGACAGAAGATAAGCATTAGCAAGACAAAGAGAAGAAACGTGCTCCACGGGAACAGTGTGTGCAAAAGACAGCGCAGAGCCTAGAGGCCCAGGAGGAGTGAAGAGAGTTGGAGGCAGAGGCCACCAGGATCACATCAAGGAGTCTGAGTGGGCTTGTGCAGAGCAATTGAGAGCCTCTGGAGTAGCTAAGTGAGAAAGTGACTTAATCAGATATCCCTTTTGGAAAGATCACTTTGGCTGCTGGATGGCAAAGGGAAAGTGGGGAGCAAGACAGGGAGACCACTTAGGAGCCTTGTCTTGGTGGGAGGTCCCAGTGGTGCCTGGGCTGGCAGCAGAGATAGCAAGACGCAGGGGACTTTGGTGGGAGTCAGGACAGGCAGTCCCCGGTGCCTGCCCTGCAGATATGAGTGCTGGGCAGGGCCACACTCTGATTCTAGGAGGAGGCAGAGATTGGGGGTCAGCTGAACAGATTGAGATCATGGAAGAAAGGCAGAGAGTAACCTGTAGAAATAAGAAGGCAGATATGGAAAGATTGCAGAAGAGGATGCTGGGCAGAGATGAGTGGGAGAATGAAAGCAATTAACAGTGAGCTGAAGCCAGGGTTGGGGGGTGAAAGGGAAGAGAATGGAGCGTGGAGGGCAGAGCGCTGGCTACACCCACCATTCAGGAAATACGGCAGGGGATGGGGACACGGTCCTGGCCTTCACGACTTGGCCAGATCCTCCCCCAAGAGAGCAGAATTTTCCCCTCTGATGATCGGATGCTGGTGGCCTGAGAACTTTGCTTCTCTTACCAGGAGAGACTACCAGACAGCCCTCTGGAAATCATAAGGGTTGGCTTACCTCCGGGCAGAGTGTGAGATGGCAGATGGATGTGGCTTTATGGTTTTCTCCACACAGAAGTGTCTTTTCCCAAGGAAGGAACTGAGTATGTGGGAGGTACCCATCAGGGCCCCTATTTCTGGAGCAGTAATCCTCCTCTCCTGCCTTTGTCAGTGGCTATAATAGGCACCTTAAAAGGCAAGCACTTTTCTCTCATTGCCAGCCCATTGCGGCTAGAATACTGAATATGAGCAAATAGCTCTCTGTGTGCCAGCATCTTTGAGTATTTCTTTCCTCTGGGACATATCTGGCCCCAGGCAGACTGTGCCTGACTTGCTCCTTATAAGGACTGTTCGGTTGAGGACACTAAGCATGAATAGGGAGCAGTAATTGAATGCCTTCTATCTCCATTTCGGCTTCTGATCTCTCTCTACCTTGGCCAGTGCCATCCTTCTTGAGGACCTGTCACCGAGCGACAGGTTTGCTCCTTCAAGACTCCAGTCCCTGACTCGATCAGCCACCCAAAGTCTGCATACTTTAAGAAGCCAGTGGGAATTCAGTCTTCTCAAGATATAGATTACCTGCACATCTGTCAGGGTTTAGTTAAACATGACTGACTAATTCATCCTGCAGCATAAGATGGGGATTCATTTCCTTTGCAAGTCGACTTGGCAATTTTCTCTGCTCAAAGAACATTTAGAATAGACAGTGTGCATGGCAATCAGGAAGAAATAGATGCTATTAATTTTCCATTTTCAAACGCGAGATTGACTGTAGAGCCTACATCCCATTCTCCTTGTAAAAACAGACCACAGCCTCTCCTGTTTAGAGCTGTGCAAAGTCTGAAAAGTTAGAAAAGAGAGCCTTCTATATTCCGCAGAGGCTCTGAACTGGGGCGGTTGTGAATGAGGCTTCTCCCTAGGGTTGGTACTGGTAGCTGGCAGAGACGAGCATCACCACTGTCAGCACAAGCTCCACCTCCTCCTCCTTTCTGTGCATGTGGCTCAATGCAGGATGCTGGTCCCCACTTGAGTGAGCATGTGATCTCCTAGAGGCACAGACTTGCATGTCAGGATATCATGATGGACCTGCGAAAGCTGGAAATCCCAAAGGTGGCTAGCTTCATCCAGTGCTTGTTATACAATGTTCTGCCACACTGGAAATACTGTGTATCTGTGTTGTCCCAGATGGAGTCATTCACTGGCCACATGTGACTACTGAGCAACTTGGAATGGGATGGGGGCAAATGAAGAATTAAATTTTAACTTTTATTTCATTTTCATCAATTTAAATAAAAATAGTCACATGTGGCTCATGGCAACTCTACTGGATAGCAGAGGTATCTGTGTGTGCCAAAACCAGGTTAGCACAGAGGTGTGCTGAAGCCAGCTGTGTGGCCAAAGCCAATTGTGTTTAGCTATATTTGTCTTTGGGGCTTCCCAGGTGGTGCTAGTGGTAAAGAACCTGGCTGCCAGTGCAGGAGACATAAACACACAGGTTCGATCCCTGGGTCAGGAAGATCCCCTGGAGAAGGAAATGGCAACCCACTCCAGTATTCTTGCCTGGGAAATCCCATGGACAGAGGAGCCTGGGAAATCCCATGGACAGAGGAGCCTGGGAGTCTACAGGCTTTGCAGAGTTGAACATGACTGAAGCAACTTAGCTAGTATATTTGCCTTACTGGTTTTCTGAATGCTGTGACAGTTGCTCTACACTTACCTATATATCATCAATTTTAAAATAAAAATAATAGTAGAAGTAATAAAAATCATAGCTGACACATGCTGAGTAATTACTCTATACCAGGTGTTTTCCTCAGCATGCTTGTCTATTTTATAGTCACATAATGATACCTTGAGTTTACAGGTATGATGAAACAGAGGCGCTGAGGAGTTAAGTAGCTGGTTTGAGTCACCCAGCAAGTCAGTAGTCACACTGGGATTCACACCAGGCGGTGTCATCCCAGAGCTCAAATACGCTGCTGCCTCTCCAGACAGTACTCCGTGCCGCTTCCTGGCTGCTGTTTTTAGATCCAATCTTGTTCTGGTTGTTGGAAGCCAGGTGTTGTCTTGAGGTCATTAGCGACCTGGGTATAAGCAATGGTCACACATTCCATGCTTTACACAGTTCAGCTGTGGCTCCTGGCTGGAAGGCAGGCAGCAGCTAGATGTGAGCACACTCAGGTTGCATAGACCTCGCCTGGGTCTGCTCACCACCTCACCTCAAGGGGAGGGCAAGACAGTCCTTTCCTGACTGAGGCTTAGGAAGTTGGGCTGTGTTCTCCATCAAGTACCAAACCCCAGGCTCAGGAAAGAGGGGCTCTACTAAATGCAGTGAGGTAAACAGGAAGAGAGGCTCTGCCTAGTATTGTTGTCTTCTGGAGAGGATTCATCCCTTGGCAGGGCAGATGGGGGCTGATGGCCTCAGCCGAGTGAAGGCTGGATGGGAGTCTGAGTGAGACCCACAAGTCATTTACCACTGCCCATGTGCCTTCTGGTGGAGAGCCTGGGTGCTCGCTGGGGTCCCTCTGCATTGACAGATTCTAGCCTTCATCTGCGTCTTGCCAGCACCGTGAGACATTCAGAACGCAGCTCTGTGTCATAATGGTGACTTGCTTGGCTTTTAGAAATTGGGAAAAGTGATGGTGGTGGGCTTCACTTTTTATTTATTGAGAATTTCTCTCCTTGAGTCTCTAATTCCTGTCCCTCCCAATTCAAACTGCTAAATGCAGTGCTGGGTGTTCTGCCTCTTGCTAGTGGCCCACTGCCTGGACCCTTTGTCAGGATTCTCAGGACCTAGAATTAGGGTGAAATCAGGCAGCAAGGGAAAGTCAGCTCCCTTCTCTGTGCCACCATCCCTCCTTTGGGGATTCCCCTCCTCCAGTCTTAGTTCTTGCTGAGACTATCAGATAGCCTGCATCTACCCATCCAGCATCTGGAGTTTCTTGTTCTCAGAAGGAGTGTTCATTAAATTTTCTCTGTCCTACCCTAAAAGATGAGCTGGTTAGTTAAAGACGGGCTGCAAAAAAGGACTCTTTCAGGGATAAGGCATCCATCTGTCCATAAGGGAAAGTCAAATCAGTCTGTCCAAAGGCCGGCAAAATATGCCACACTCACAAACCCACATGTGAGCAGTGCAAAATTGAGAGTTGCTCATACTGGGGTCTTTTGATGTCCCAGGCTGCCTTTCCCTAAGAGCATTAGCTATCCTTAAGTGTTTATCTCTTGGCATGAGTTCAGTGGAAAATGTGATCTTCTCTGGCAAACCGCAATAGCAAGTTTGATCTGGTTAGCAAAAGGACCCGTGACGGCTTTTGGAGGCTGGTATGCAATGCTTGCTTACAGAGTGCGGAGGCAGTCCACGTTCAAGTTTGCATAGCGCTGCTTGCCTGGGAGTCTCAGCTCTCACTTTGTCACACTCTTTACCTGTGAGGGCAACATCTTTGGGGCCTTTTCCCAGTGGGGTAAGGAGTTACATCCTGGTTGGAGAGAGAGGTCTGTTTGGAGCATTTCATGTTGAAGGGAGAGCGCCCATAGACTTAATGTTTCTTCCATCTGCTTTTTCTCCAGCCTGCACAGACACGGAGCTGAGAAGCCTTGCCTCCCGGCTGAAGGACTGGTTTGGAGCCCTCCACGAGGACGCCAACAGGGCCATCGAGCCCACCAGCTCGGAGACAGCCCAAGGCAGTAAGACACGTTACTCCTGCTAGTTTATTTCATTTTAAACACCACACTTCCTCAGTTACTGACATTGATTGACCACCCTGAGATGCTGTTGTTAAAAGAAACACTAAGTTAAATGTACACGGTGAGGGAAGACATACAGATGGCACAAAAACACATGAAAAGATGCTCAACATCACTCATTATCAGAGAAATGCAAATCAAAACCACAATGAGGTACCATTACACGCCAGTCAGGATGGCTGCTATCCAAAAGTCTACAAGCAATAAATGCTGGAGAGGGTGTGGAGAAAAGGGAACCCTCTTACACTGTTGGTGGGAATGCAAATTAGTACAGCCACTATGGAAAACAGTGTGGAGATTTCTTAAAAAGCTGGAAATAGAACTGCCATATGACCCAGCAATCCCACTTCTGGGCATACACACCGAGGAGACCAGATCTGAAAGAGACACGTGCACCCCAATGTTCATCGCAGCACTGTTTATAATAGCCAGGACATGGAAGCAACCTAGATGCCCATCAGCAGACGAATGGATGAGGAAGCTGTGGTACATATACACCATGGAATATTACTCAGCCATTAAAAAGAATTCATTTGAATCAGTTCTAATGAGATGGATGAAACTGGAGCCCATTATACAGAGCGAAGTAAGCCAGAAAGATAAAGACCATTACAGTATACTAACACATATATATGGTATTTAGAAAGATGGTAACGATAACCCTATATGCAAAACAGAAAAAGAGACTCAGATGTATAGAACAGACTTGTGGACTCTGGGAGGAGGCGAGGGTGGGATGTTTCAAGAGAACAGCATCGAAACATGTATATTATCTAGGGTGAAACGGATCGCCAGCCCAGGTTGGGTGCATGAGACAAGTGCTCGGACTTGGTGCACTGGGAAGACCCAGAGGGATAGGGCAGAGAGGGAGGTGGGAGGGGGGACCGGGATGGGGAATACATGTAAATCCATGGCTAATTCATTTCAATGTATGATAAAAACCACTGCAATGTTGTAAAGTAATTAGCCTCCAACTAATAAAAATAAATGGAAAAAAAAATAAAGAAAACAAAAACAAACAAACAAAAAAAACATGAACCATAGAAAGGGAGTAAATACTTCTAAAACATAATTGATAAAACTTATATTCAAAATACAAAAACAAGGCTCAAAAATTAATAAGACATGCAACCCAAGGAATATATATATCCTCTCTGTTCTTAAATTTATATTCTAGAATGACTTAGTCCCTTTTAAGCATATTGTATTTATACTAAAAAATTAAAACTCAATTTAAATCATTAAAAAAAATATGTACACGGTGACTTTAAACATGCTCCAAAACAGAAATATTAAAATATTGGAGGGCAAGGAAATGCCATAGAATGAAGAAAATACAACCGTTTATTTTTCTTAAATCGGGTTGCAAAGTTATCTAGTATTTAATATTAATTTTTAGGAAATATGTTTAAGTACATATAAGGATACAAACATGACAAACTATCATATATAAAATGGATAGGCAATAATATAAAACACAGGGATTTAGAGCCATTTTCTTATAATAACCTAGAATGGAGAATAATCTGCAAAAACACTATGCTGGACACCTGAAACTAAGACAATATTGTAAATCACCTATACTTCAATTAAAAGGAGTATAAGTCTTCAATTAAAAGACCATCTCCAAAAAAAGAAACGCAAAAAGGCAAAATGGTTGTCTGAGGAGGCCTTACAAATAGCTGAAAAGAGAAGCAAAAGGCAAAGGAGAAAAGGAAAGATATACCCATCTGAATGCAGAGTTCCAAAGAATAGCAAGGAGAGAGATAAGAAAACCTTTCTAGTGACCAATGCAAAGAAATAGAGGAAAACAATAGAATGGGAAAGACTAGAGATCTCTTCAAGAAAATTAGAGATACCAAGGGAACATTTCATGCAAAGATGGGCACAATAAAGGACAGAAATGGTATGGACCTAACAGAAGAAGAAGATATTAAGAAGAGGAGGCAAAAATACACAGAAGAACTATACAGAAAAGATCTTCATGACCCAGATAATCATGATGATGTGATCACTAACCTAGAGCCAGACATCCTGGAATGCAAAGTTAAGTGGGCCTTAGGAAGCATCACTATGAAAAAAGGTAGTGGAGGTGATGGAATTCCAGTTGAGCTATTTCAGATCCTAAAAGATGATGCTGTGAAAGTGCTACACTCAATATGCCAGCAAATTTGGTAAACCCAGCAGTGGCCATAGGACTGGAAAAGGTCAGTTTTCATTCCAATCCCAAAGAAAGGCAATGCCAAAAAATGCTCAAACTACCACACAATTGCACTCATCTCACACGCTAGCAAAGCAGTGCTCAAAATTCTCCAAGTCAGGGTTCAATAGTACGTAAACCATGAACTTCCAGATGTTCAAGCTGGATTTAGAAAAGGCAGAGGAACCAGAGATCAAATTGCCAACATCCATTGGATCATTGAAAAAGCAAGAGAATTCCAGAAAAACATCTACTTTTGCTTTATTGACTATGCCAAATCCTTTGACTGTGTGGATCACAACAAACTGTGGAAAATTCTTAAGGACCTGGGAATACCAGACCACCTGACCTGCCTCTTGAGAAATCTGTATGCAGGTCAAGAAGCAACAGTTAGAACTGGACATGGAACAACAGACTGGTTCCAAATTGGGAAGGGAGTATGTCAAGGCTGTATATTGTCACCCTGCTTATTTAACTTATATTCAGAGTACATCATGCGAAATGCCACACTGGATGAAGCACAAGCTGGATAAAGACTGCCAGGAAAAATATCAATAACCTCAGATATGCAGATGACACCACCCTTATGGCAGAAAGTGAAGAACTAAAGAGCCTCTTGATGAAAGTGAAAGAGAAGAGTGAAAAAGTTGGCTTAAAACTCAGCCTTTAGAAAACTGACATCATGGCATCTGGCCCCATCACTTCTTGGCAAATAGATAGGGAAATAATGGAAACAGTGAGAGACTTTATTTTGGGGGGCTCCAAAATCACTGCAGATGGTGACTACAGCCATGATATTCAAAGATATTTGCTCCTTGGAAGAAAAGCTATGATGAACCTAGACAGTGTATTAAAAAGCAGAGACATTACATTGCCTACAAAGGTTCATCTAGTCAAAGCTATGGTTTTTCCAGGAGTCATGTATAAATGTGAGACTATAAAAAGAAGGCTGAGCCATGAAGAACTGATGCTTTTGAACTGCGGTATTGGAGAAGACTCTTGAGAGTCCCTTGGACTGCAAGGAGATCCAACCAGTCAACCCTAAAGGAAATCAGTCCTAAATATTCATTGGAAGGACTGATGCTGAAGCTGAAACTCCAACATTTTGGCCGCCTGATGTGAAGAACTGACTCTCTGTATAAGACTCTGATACTAGGAAAGATTGAAGGCAGGGGGAGAAGGGGATGACAGAGGATGAGATGGTTGGATGGCATCACCGACACGATGGACATGAGTTTAAGCAAACCCCAGGAGTTGGTAATGGACAGGGAAGCCTGGTGTGCTGCAGTCCATGGGGTCTCAAAGAGTTGGACGCGACTGAGTGACTGAGTTGACTGATAATTCAATTATATAGAAATATATATAGAAATATATAGAACCACACCATTTTCACAGCTGTAAGCTCTCGTGGCATGGCATATTCTTCAATTTTTTTTCCTGTCACATAGGGAAAAATATGTTTCTTTGTGTATGTATACACATGCACACTTTACAGACTGTTTTATGGCCGCCTTTTATCATTCAGCAATACACTATGACTATCTTTCTATACTGTTGAGTAGTATTCTGCTTTGTAAACATGACATAGAATCTCAATATATTGATATAACATAATTCATGTAATTAGACCTTTATTTGGGAGCTTTGAAGTTGCTCCTAATGTTCAGCTATCATAAGCAACATGGTAGCAAACATCTTTGATAACTCGGGCTTATGGACATTAGTGAGACTGCATTTTGTTTTCCAGAGATGGACTACTCGACAAGTGTTCCCTCCACCATCACCAAAGTGGCTGAAGACCATAATCTGAACCTCTCCATAAGCTGGAGAGAAAACTGGGGGTTAGGTCTGTGCGTTTGCACTTTGGTGGAGCCTCTCACTGCCTCTAACCCACAGGCCACTAGGGGGGCACTTCTCTACACTGTGGCCCCTTGGTACAGAAGGGCTGACTCAATAACACAATTGTTGAGATACATGGAGCTTTGCCATAGCCTTTTCTATGTAGTGATTTTTATTGATTTGTCAAAATATAAAAATACATGTTATTTAAAGCAGAGATTATTTCACCCCATCCCTGATGTCACACTTGTGTGGACAGGATTCCTGAATGTAATGCTCCTGGATTGAGCTAAGTGAGTAAGAAGTGACACTGGTAACTGCTGGAACCCAAAGTCTAACCAGCATCTGGTCTTCAGCCCAAATCAGAATGTTGTTCATAATTTCAGGGTTATTCTTTGCTGTTCACAGCCACCTAGAGAATATTGATCTAGACGACAATTCGCTCACCAGGTTGGAATTTTTACCAATTAAGGGAAAGGTCGATTCTGGGAAGCAGATGCTATATGTCCAAAGAGAGGGTCCTGGTGGTTGTATCAGTGTGAAGAGGGATGTAAGATTCTTCCCATTCATGTCAAAGGCTTCCTTGGGAGTTGTGGACAGTGGGAAGCTTTCCCCAGGGATCTTCCAGGAGTGGCTGAGCCACTTGGCTTTCTGTATAGCCTTTCAATGAAGAGCAGATTGATGAAAGAGCTGCTCCTCACAGCTTCTAGTCCCAGGAGACTCCTTCTGCTGACAGCCAGTGAGCCTGCAAAATGCCTGCCCTTGGCCACAAGCAAATTGAGTCCCTGAAGAGGTTTTTAGGTGTGATGTTCTGAAACAGCTGGAGTGAAGGGATATAAAGGAATGACACTGGGTTTTTCCATGAGGCACAGGAGGGAGAGACACTGTCAGCCCAGGAGTT